CCCCCCCACACCGCGTGTTCCATAATCAACATGTTAGGTTACAACATTGTATGTCAGTGAACAGTACACCCTGGTCAAGGCATATCCTCTGCCAGCTGGTCACACGACGTACTAAGTCCAACATTTTGAAAACATTATTTTGCACTTTCTTAATTTGTGGTGCCGTTTGAGTGTGCTTTAAAAATATTTTGTCGAAGTTCAGAATCTCAATGTTGAATAAAGCAAGAAGAGAAAATAATATGATCTAGGTACAATTAATTGTTTTTAAAAATTGAAACAGTTTCTTTTCTCTCTCCTAAAAATGTTCTTAGCACATTTGAACAGCTAGCGACGATATGTCAAGTAAAGTTACACACAGACCATTATTTAACAGTTAACAATACAGACAGGCCATTATTTAACCAGTTAACAATACAGGCCGACCATTATTTAACTAGTTTATAATACAGACTGGCTTCGGCATGCAATATGTCGGTCAACACAAATATGATGCTGCTTTGCCTCACCACGTAAACTGTGTGCATCTCAGAAGTTTTAAAATACCACTCGATGCACACTTAATAGTTGGTCTCCTTGCCCTCAATACAATCCTGGTTTACAACAACAACAAATGTTTAATAAACAAGTAAATGAATAAAATCTTGAACCTCCCCCACCCCCGGACTCCATTTAGAAGTTCGCATATTTTTTTCGGGTTGGTTGGGAGGGCGGCAGCAAGTACCTGCAATAGGCACCACAGTACACATAAAGGTCTTGTACTCGCACAAAAATACCGCTTAAAATATGCTTCTCGGACTTTGGCACGACGTTTATCAGACACGAAACATATTTACAAGAGGGTGATAACATTTCCCCTTTCATGAGTAATTTACATGTTTTATTTTAACCTTTTGACAGCTTATAATTATTAAACATCAAGTTATTTCACAATCAGCCTTGAAGCCTGCAGCTTCCAAGTCTTTCCTTGATTTGTAAGCCAAGCTTCACTTACTTTTATAAAAATGTGGGGAAAGTTTAGCTACGGTTTGGTAAGACTTGTAAGGCGTTAACCACTCCACATTTAGATCAAACTGAATCTTGGTTTACATCATCGATATGAAGAAAAAGCTCCTTGAACTGCAAATGTAAAAAAAGAAGAAAGGTAAAACACACATAATATATCTGTGCATTTCTCAATATAATACGCGAGGAATAGAGGTGAAATCAGGCGCTCATCAAAATAATGAAATCGAAGAAAACGCTTTTTTTTTTTACCCGTTTGGCAATGTCTATTGAATTTTTATTACGTTGATTAAAGGCACTAAAAGCATTGCAAATTTACAGTTTCCAAGCACTCAAGCTTTAGATGTCACCAAACTTAGTCGGTCATTTTCTCGCTAATATTGCCTTTGAAACCAGGTGACTCCCATCTCCTTCAATCTGAAACAGCTCGACTTCTACTAAAGATAGATGTGTACTTTCTTTATCGAAAGCAAGACAAATAAACAAGTTTTAAGATGATACTAATAACTCCATGTACCCAAATCCTGCCGAGAGCCTGATTCCACCACGTCGTGACACATAATATAAAGCCGATTACCAACTTCTCTTCCCCCCCCCCTCCCCCATGTCCTGTCTGTCTGACTTGCCCTTTTATTTTTCTCCACCAAATTCTTGACTTACAAACTTTATGTTCCCAAAGCAGTTTGCGTATTTGTGTAAAGCGAACGTAAAGGTTTCATTTCATTCATTGACATCCTCTTCGAGTCCTTATTTTAAAGATCTTCTCCTAGCACGTCAATTTCCAGCCATTTGTGGTCTCTGGTGTTCCCATTGATCCTATCTGTCCTCAACCAAACCTATGACCTTTACCTCAAGATGCAGAGTTGTTGGGGTTTTTTTGTATTATTATTCTTCTCTCTCTCTCTCTCTCTCTCTCTCTCTATCTCTCTCTCTCTCTCTCTCTCTCTCTTTCTTTCTCTCTCTCTTTTTCTCCCCCCACCCCCTCTCAAACAAATATAATCACAAGACGGACGCCGTGCAAGGATTCTGATGTTCCTACCATTCACATTTTGCCCTCAAAATTTTAGTCAGAGGGTGAAGTCATACATATTGGTTCTCCACAGAATGCAGAGGCGTCGACTTTCTAGATTTCTGGTAGTGTCCATATTTTGCACTTTGGGCAAAAAATAGTTTTGATTTAAAAAATGTACGGGAAAATCTGTAAATGCTGGGACCTTGCATGCACGTTTCCGTGTGATCCGAAAATTTTTTTGGTTTTTAAAAACTTCCAGTAGTAAGTTGGC